TCAAGGCGTTGATGGGGTGGCGTGTAACAAGTTGGGCGCTGTTAGATTATAGGCTAGGAAAGAAACATAATACTAAAGCAAATGTGTTTACGGTGAAAGGTTGGTTTACTCGAAATGAGACACACATGACAACTTCAGTACATCCGTGATTCGTGTCAGTTTCAAAGTAGACCGGATGTTATAACGAAGAATAATTTGTCTGGTGTAACCATAGTTATAGATATATGTTATGACGCAAAACGTGAATTCGTATTTTAATATCCGTCTAGACTTGTTGTTTCTTTACATATGACGTGCCAGGCCACCTGGACTTTCTATTGCCCGTATTTGCCTACGAAATAAGGTTAAGTATGCCCCTGGGAGGGTAGTCAAACCGATTTTATTGAACTTTTATATATGTGACATGTTTAAACACGAATTGTACAATATCCAGTAAAGGATTAAGATATAAGAAAGAAATATCTTAATAATTTGCTCAGTGAAATAAGGTTGAAAATGCATAGATATCTTTCCCTTTTCCGGGCACGTGTTTTCAATGCATCTTAAGGGCGATGTAAACGAGCAATGTATTACCCTTACATTGAATAGAATAGAATAGAATAATGCTTTATTAATACCGTAAAGAAAGAGTTAACACTTCTTTTTAGGTTTTCAGATTAATAAAGTAAATAATAAAAGTACATGAAATGTAAAAATTGGTTTAAAAAGGAACTCAAAATTGATGAACGACAAAAATACTACAGACTATTATTAATAATATAAGAAATATTAAAATAGTGTGATATGTAAGTATACCTGTATGCATCACAGAATATGTATAGAATATAAAAGAACATGACATAAATACAAGAATTATTTAACTAAATATTTGCAGAGAGTGATAAGATGGTTTGTATTTGGTGATTGTAGTACAAGTTTAAATTGTTCTTTTTTGTAATGTTTTGGTAATCAATGTTAATTTCTTTAAGGATATTATATATGTCATCTCTGTGTTCTGTGTGCAGTTTACATTCTAGTAAATGATGTAATTCATCCTCTATTTCTTTACAGTGGGTGCATAATCTGTCTTTTATCAGTGTTTTTGGTTTTGTGTACCTTCCTGTTTCTATAGCTAGTTTGTGACTACTTGTTCTAAATTGTGCTAGTATTTTGATGTAATGTCTGTTATCTATGTGTTTTATGTAATGTTACATGTCTAGTGTGGTTGTGTATGTACTGTAAGTGCGCAGTTTTGCGTCGTCTCTTGTATTGTCATTGTTCCATGCGTTAGTGTAATATTCTCTGATTGAAATTACCAGTTCTTGTATTGTTATATTATCTATATTACATTTAGTGTATATTTCTAAGTTGTTTTCTAGTGACTTCAACCATGACCCCGGGTAATTATTTTTCTTCATTTCTTTCAGTGCATAGTATGCCAAGTTGTTGCAGTCAAGAGTTATTAGGTGTTTATAATACTTAACTGCTTGGCAGACAAGGAGTACCCGTCCCATTTCCATCCTACAGGCTATTTTGTTTGTCTTATTATTTAAATTTAAAATTTGTCTGCAGAAACGGTTGTGATACTTTTCAGTTTCTGTTTTTTCCAATGTAGTCGGTTTGAGAAGGATACACATATGTTAAGATTGGTAATTGGGTCATATTTAACATCTTTAATTTAATATTGATATTATTTGTATTATTCAAATATAGTCATGATTGTATTCATTGTGCTTTGTATGCCTTATCTGCTAGTCTATCAGCTGTAGTTACAATATTACTATTTGATTTAAAAATTACTCCTAGGTATGTGTATTGTTCTTTGACTTCTATTTCTTCTTTTCCATAGGTGAATTTTTGTGATAATATTTTACACCAGTTTTTTCTGAATATGACAATTTTTGTTTTTGATGTGTTGACTTGTAGCCCCCAACTAACTGTATATGTATGAAGGTAATTTAGTGCATTTTGTAGCCCTACCTTTGTAGTAGACAATAATGCAATGTCATCTGCATATTGTAGACAGTTAATATGTTTACCATCTAAGTCTGGTGCTGGCATTTCAATATTTGACAGTCCTTCAATAAAGTCCTTCATGAAGATGTTAAACAATGTTGGGCTTAAAGGGCAGCCCTGTTTAACACCATTATCTAGCTTGAAATGTGGTGTTATAACATCTCCTAATTTTATAACAAAGTTCATATTTCTGTACATCATTTTCATAATGTTATATACTTGACCGTTGATGTTATTTTTCAGCAGTTTATATTGCAGTGCTGTTCTCCACACTGTATCAAAGCATTTGTAACTATGTAGTATACGTCCTGTGGTCCCCTACCAAACACAACGCGTTGACCGCTATCAAAAACAAATCGTTAGAACTGTGCATTTTTTTCTTGATTGTGCCTTTTTTAAATGAACTTTCCCCCGTGATCAATTTGTTTGGAGCCCAGGACATGTTTCAATGAGACGATGACGACAGGGCGCCAAACGAATAAAATACATCCAGTATCCATGGTTACTAACTATAAAGGACAACAGTTGACGTATTTTAAAGTAGTTCTTCACACATTGAATGCATACCCCGTCCAAGCTGTCTGGTATTAAATGGCCACCTGTTTGACTGAGATGACGTCATATCCGACCAGTGTACTCCCAACTGTCGTCTCTTAGGATTAGTATAGAGTGCTGCAAGAGTTTATCTGACCTTTAATTTTGAAATAACCACTACGCCACATGAAACTAATGAATTATGACTGTGCGCACATCCAGTATGCTGGGTAGGAAGGGTGATAGGAAGTTATCGGCTGGCATATTTATATGTCTGTCTATCAGCCGATATAAAGGCTAGGCATACAGTTTATAGTTCCCGGGTGAAAATTAAAACTTGTTTGTTTTATTGGTGTTCGATATTGCGTTGTTTATATACACACTGGACATAATTGACTGAAAATATACCAATCACGTTGTACTTTGCATCACATTGAATGGGTTCAATGGACAACCATTCAGTGATTACTTCAAGGCGTCAAATTGTCGCATACAGTTAAACACGTAGATTGTGTTACATGCATTTTTGACTCAATGCATGAATTAACAGAATCTCAGTTTAGCTAAAGTGTCAAATACCTCATTTTGAGATATACCACTGTTAAATCAGCTAGAAAACATGCTACCAAAAATACAGGAAGTTATTGGAGAGCGGGTGTTTATAATATTCGTTAACCATGGTTTCTCGACAGATATTGACGAACACACTACATGGAATAAATCTCTATTACGGTAAGGAGTATCCGGAGTAGCACTTGTTAATCACAGTCACGTGACGTCAACTGTACTATGGGCTGCCACCATGACGCAAATGGCGATGGACAGCGTTTAGTAGTTAAACAAATTGTCAAGTGTTAATGTCAGAGTTGCAATATAAACAAAACGTAGAAATCTATTTGCGGGAAAATACTCGCAATGCTCGTAGAAAGCAGTGTAGAACCTATTTGCGGTGACTAGTTCCTTAATTGTTCCATGATTGTCCGCAGGCCTGATGAGTTCCTTCATATCCCATTGCGCCAACTAGTGGCAACTTTGGGAGATGATGATATGCAACAGGTATCCAGTCCAACGCCAAACTCACGTTTCACAGAATAAATCCACATGATTTGTACATACTATTTCCCAAAAAGTTGATTAAGATTTGTTATGTCCAAAAAATACAAGAAAATCATAAAAACCCATAAAAATGGTCAAAATATTGCATAAACATGTGGCGAGAAAACTTTATGACTAATCAGCATTAATTAGCCCAAACTTTTGACTGTGAAACCTAATTAATTGTGACCTTAAAATTTACCAAAACCTGACGAAATATTGATGATAAATTTAAATATTGTTCAAAATAGCCTATGGCAAATATGCGCTTTTAGCTGAATTCAAATTTGTCTCTACTGAGCATGTTACTGCACATATATGCAATGCATTATGGGTGAGAGCTTCTCCTTGCATGCAATGGTAAACTAAATTACATGTAATTTCTTTGAAATATATTTGTATTCATTACTTTTTCATCCCATGTCACTGAGCAACATTTTTAGATATAAAAAAATAATCTGACCATAGAAACCAGTTTAAACCTCCTTAAGCCGTACATTTTTGTTATTGATTCCTGAATAAATTACTGATAAATAAATCAATGAATTCTGGGTGATTGGTGAATAGACCAATGAATTCTGGGTGATTGGTGAATAGACTAATGAATTCTGGGTGATTGGTGAATAGACCAATGAATTCTGGGTGATTGGTGAATAGACTAATGAATTCTGGGTGATTGGTGAATGAACCAATGAATTCTAGGTGAAAAACAAATGAAATTCTGGTAAATAAACAAATTGAATTTTGGGTGATTGGTGAAAAACAAATTGAATTCTGGGTGATTAATGAATTTCAGAAAACAAATTGAATTTTGGGTGGTTAGTGAATAAATCAATTATTTATGGGTGATACACCGAAGAATTCTGGGGGATTGCTGAAAAACAAATTGCATTTTGGGTAATTGGTAAACAACCCATTACTGCTAATGGCTAATTTTAACCATTCAAAACACACAGACACAAAACAAAAAAAATGTTGATAATATGAAATTTATTTTATAAATCTCAAAACCTATATATAATCGTTCATTGATATTCACAATGAAATAACACATTTCAAAATATTGGACGGCATGTCAAACTGTAAAGTTTAAATGGACAACCGTGGATCACACATGTCAGAATAAGTGTAGTTGAAAAAATACAGACACTGATTTCCACAATAAAAAACATAGACAATATCACATTGTCAAAACTGTTTTTATAAAATGTTTAAAACGCAATATAATCCTGTTTTTGCTTTCATGGATTAACCCTATTTAAACATGCTGTTACTCTCTGTCACAACAACGCTGTTACAATGAAAATAATTTAATTCATTTTTGGAATGAAATGAAGAGAATTATAACCTGACTCCAGTGGAGTGAAACAGTGTAATATACAACATCAGAGCATCAACAATTTTATAGAGGATGTGGACGGAGGGATTCTCTTGAACAGAATATATAAAAGTAGATCAGGAGCATGGTTAAATAATGTACAACTGTATATTAATTATATATACACTAAACAAATACAAATATCATCATACAAAATTGCATATCAAACAGAACTATTTACATAATTGGAAATGCAACGAACACAGAAAGAATACATTTCACTGCTGGTTAAAAGTAAATATACGCAGCAGGATTCAAAATGTTGGCTGAGAATTGCAGCACCAATGAGTGGTCTTGCATTAGTAGTCCAAGGCACAGATAAGCGCAACTCCACGTTTGATCCAATGGAACTGTTTCTCATTTGATGGCACTTCGACTGAAACAACGTAATTTGTGGAGTGGCCTGTAGTTGACAAAGTACCTGACAAAAAAATGAAAAAAAAAATAAAATGAGATAGAAATCTACATCCATCAGGTAATATTAATTAATCACTCCCAATATCTACAATAGTATTATATTATTTAAAGATCTCTCTTTCAATAACAGCAAAATTACATGAAAAATTGATTGATATGCTGCAATTAATAATTATTAAAATACATGTAAAAGAGAATTATAGCACTTAACTACCAAGCTTAATTTTATTTCAATAAATATTTTGTAACACCTATTGTTGGCATGGGTGACCTCTTTCAGCAGAATTCAGGGGAAAGCAGGGTGACACATTTTTTTTGTACTTTACTGACAAATTTTCATTGAAGGGCCATGGTGGTCACGCCGTTTTCAAAATAGGTCTCATAGCAATGAGTAAAATGTGTGTAAAAAAAATGGCGCTGCACGTGCATCAGCCTCTAATTTTGAAAAAGTGTGTAAAAGTTTATGCTATCGAGCCTCAAATCAAAACATTACAGGCGATATGAGTCGGTAATTTTGATATTGGTTCTATGCGATGTAATGTAAATTATGTTGAAATGACACTGTGTGACGACTGCAGCAGTTTAAACATTGACATCAGAGCTCAGTGTTTTTTCCTATCCAGATGTCACCCAATTACTGTAAAATCTGTATTAGAAGCTGTGGTTTCTATTAAAATGGTAAAATGCGATGCGGTTTCTATTAGAACATATACACAAAAGAGAAATTGTGAATTTTGTGGTTCTCAATTGTTCAAAATGAATGGGATGCAGCTTCTAATACAGATTTGGACAGATTTGTTTTGGATTAGATTTGTTGACATTAATTTGTTACCCTGACAACTTCCAAAGTAGTCAGATACAGGTTGAGATTGAGGTTAGTGGGAGTCCACACCTTAGTGATTCTTGAACCCTGCCTTAGTTTTAAGAAAAATCTCTGTAAGAGAGCAACAAAACCACTGTTTTGTTTTAAAACAAACTGTATATACATGTGCTGACAGCATGCATAGAAGCAGCTTTGTGGTAAATATGTATACCTCATTGCAGGAAAACAAAAGAACAGCTGACATGACATATATTGATGTGGAGAAACACAACACTAGTGGCTGTCTTTATGAGGAAGTGTACCAGGTTGGTTAGAGCGATTAAAGTCAGGGAAGAGGAGTTACAATGAACTACTTTTTTTTTTAATCACTCATGCATTTAGGCAATTGGGTCTAAACTAAAATCTAACAGAACTCAATCCTAAGGGTTGAATACAGCTTAAGCTGGATGGAATCACACAGTATTTTTTGCTGCCCCAGTCGTTAAATGCTGTTGTGTAAAAAAGAAGATATCCAGGGTTTGGCGTTAACTTTTAATTTCACTTTTCCAAAATTCGTGTTGCCTTTATATTTAATATCCCATGTGTATCACTATTCAGTTGCCTCAATCGCAATGTTATTCATTCTAGGCTATAGGACTTCCCTTAGTGCCATACCCTAGGGTTGGCCACTAGAATATCTGCATGAGGGGAAGCAACCCCCCCCCCCCCTGTGTTATTCTTTTACCTCTATTTAAGTTCTAGCAATGTTAATTCATATATATAATTTTGCTGTTTTTTTTCATTAAGCTATGTGTTTCACACTAAATTCACACATTAACAAAACATACCAGTTCCAATTTACAAAAAAAAAAAATTGAGATCTGATTCAAAAAAAAAATAACTGCTGATCATTTTATGGAAGAAATATGTACTACAAGCTGTATCAATGAAAATCAGAAATGGCTGACTGGTGGCCATTCTCACATCTACTGCATGTGTATATTAAACAGGAATGTCATCAAACACAATTTCAATCACGCACGCAGTACGTGTTTACTATAATTAGACATAGTCTTTACCTTGCCGTTTATTCGGTGTTATTTGCTTACTTTACTTCCTATGTCGACAGCAACTATGAGTTTAAAATTATTTCTCAGTACTTATTCACAATTTCAACTTGACACATCCACCATTTTGTACACATCATCAAGTATACATGTATATGAATTGATACTAGAGTATTATCGTGCACTAATAATTGAACTTCTGTTTACAGCTAGTTGGCAATAGAATAATGAGTTCATGTAGAAGGCAATATGATCTAGTTCACATGGATTAAGTAGCGAGATGTGGGTGCCGTTACTCAACATTAATAAGTGAACCATAAATGCATGGCACCATACTGGATGATGAGTTGATGCTATAGAGAAATGACAGTCACAGTTGACAGCGCTGTTGAATATACAGTATGAATACACAATATGATACTGATGTGCAATTATTATTGAGCATATTACCAGTGTTCTCCGTATGAAAACAGCGTAGCTTTATGGTTAATTTGCATAACAATACAATATGCTAATAACCTATATTGTATCATTGCTATGCTAAGTGAGCTATATTATTTATTTATCCGAAAATACAGAGTGAGGGGCCTTTACTCTATAATGCTCTGGAGAGAACTATGTTATTACCACCTAAATCTGAATAACACAGAGCAAGGATAAGGCAGGTAGAAGACACATATATTGATAAGTGGCCTAGCCAAGTTTTCTTCAAACCTGTTACATCACTACGTGACAACCACTGTTCATTACTTGAAAAAACAGTATCCAAGCTATTTTTCTGTGTGATTGTTTTTTGTACAAAAGTCAATACGTGAAATAATACATAGCTGAGTAAGGGACAAAGTCAAAAGATCGATGTCGGATAAAAAACTTATTTGCTTTAGTTGGGGAGGGGGTTTGACCTCAAAAAGTTTCCATTCTACAAAAACGATTTTATTTTTTAATGAAGTCAAACAAATCTTGGAGTATTTGTAGTTCGTTTTTTTTCTATCCAATCATGGACAAAAATAACAGAAAATGAAAAAAACAAACATCCAAGACGAGAAAATGGTTTGGTTCGAGTGTAAATATGTGCGTCAAATGAGGTCAATTTCAGGGTTTTTTACACCCACCCGACAACCAACTGCTATGCCATAGTACTGTCCGATTATCAATTTGTATTTAAAGGTGAATGTAGTCTGACGCCATGATCAATAATTATCAATTTAGTTTCGGTTGGGATGGGGGTTAGTTTGGAAGAAAACTAAAGGAATTAAGTTTTTTATCCTACATTGAACTTTTGATGTTGTCCCTAAGCCCGTTCAAAAACATACGAACAAACATGTCAATGGATATTTCAGATCAAGTTCCCCCAAAAAACTAAATTTCAAATATTCTTACCAGCTCTAGTAAGTGTTTTATACACAGGACAGTAATAGATACCACTCTCTGGCTGTACTCTGTTAGACTCTGGTATCAATTGCATCACTGGGAAATCCGTGTACAGTTCTTTAGGACGCGACTCTCCAAGTTGGTGGTTATCATAGTCCCATCTAGCGCCTTCTATAAACAGACCACGGATATAACAACCATTCTTTGGTCGTTCACTCAGTTCTTTTGATTCTTCCTTTCTCACCTGGAAATAAAAAAAATTGGAGAAAAGTAAATAAATGAGCATTTATTTGGTTGTTACAGAACCGTAGAAAGTTTTGAGGTACTAATATTGCCTATGTTGACTACAGGTTTTAAATTCATTGGTTCGTGAAAGAAACAATACAATCAATTGTCAATTACACATTTTCATTGGGTTTAATTTCAGCAGATTTGATGTTATATAGTTATTCAAAATCACTGGTTTATGAAGAACACAATGCATTCTATGCACTAAGTTTTAATTTAGCAATAAAAGACATCATTTTAGCTGGAATTAATTTTCTCTGAAAAGTGTTTTTGGGTGTTTTGTATGGAATTAATTTTCACTGATTTCTGATGAGTTTAATTTGATTTTCACTGAATCATTCCTTCAGCGAAAATAGCGAAAATTAATTCCAAGCGAGAATAAAGTATTTCACAGTACAGATTTGACAGCATACAAACTTTTGGCACCATCAACAAAATAATTTTGTACAATCTACTCCTTTACCACATGAAATGTTGATAAAAATTGACAACAATTTTGATCAAAAAGTAAAAGCAATATCTGAAACTGTCTGTATGGTCCAAAATTATGATGGAATTCAATGAAAATTTTTGCAAAATATGAAAACATATGTACTAAAGAAAAAATATCTGACACTCAAAGGATTAAACTAAATACATGAATCATAGAGTTTAACTTTTGCATATAAATTAGGTATAATTATTGCTTTAATTTCACAAGTCAGTAAAAATCGTGACATTTTTTAGCAGTACAAATTTCCTTGCTGTACTATGACATGGTGTGACTTTTTTTGCTGTAAAATCCTCCAATCGTGAAATTTTCTAGTGGCAAAAATTAATCAGCTTACAGTTGGCAGTGAGAATATTTCCAAATAATAACAATTTATAAACACCAAACAAGCAAATAATTACCACGCTGGTTACGTAGCATGAGACACACTACATGTCATGCGATAAATATTGTTGCATATATAGCATTCGTGAGATGAAATTGATAATGTATGCTATCATTACAGAGTATTATATTAAAATAAGAAATTACAATACATGATAATGACACACTTCAAGATGCAGATTATACTATATGAGATGAAATCTGAGCAAATGATGGAGTTTATATAGATGCTGTTAACGTTACATTGAAGGCCATTCCTTGATGACAGATTGTGAAAGTCATGATGGTGCGATGCCATCTCTACTGCTCAGATGAACTTTATCAGTTTCAAGGGTCAGATGCCAGAACATGAGATTAATTTTGTCATTAAAATGTTTCTTTGATTGTGTTATTTTACATGCTGAAACACGATTACTTAGTTGCTGAGATTTTAATCCATGCGGGTGTAGCCAATGAGCCAGCAGCAGCAACTCCCGCAACAGGAAATATTTTTAGGTAAACATCAAAAAATCATTGTCGACAACAACAACACAAAATCGGCATAAATTTGCATAATTAATGAGCAATTTATGCTAAATCAAAATGTAAACACGATACTAGATTTATACGATGTAGATATACACAAAACGTTGTGGCATATGACC